TTTTTTGTTTATTAAGCAAATTAACCATAAAATTTAATGGTATTACAATTAAAAATTGGTACTATATTGTTGAGAAAACTCACCGATGAAGATGGTTTAAGATATTCTTTGACTTGTCACTTCCTACAGATTTTGTCACTTCCTACAGATTTGTCGTAAAACTAGTAGTGAAAATTATGCAAAAAAGAAGAAGATGCAAATCTCAAATAATATTACGAAAAAACGTTATTGGAATGATAAGAATTTACTGATAAACCTTGTCTTGTTTTTTTTTTTTTTAATTCAGCTATTTATTATGGACTTCCGTTGGTGCCTGCTTATTTGGGATTATCTGAAGAACAAAGGAACAATATCTCTACTGGTATTAACTATGCTTCGGCTAGTTGTGGGATTTTTCCTGACACAGGAAAGCGACTGGTAAGCTTCAATATTCAAAAATATCGTTGCAATATCGGTTATGAAAAAATCTAATAGGTGTTATTTATTTGATTCTTTTGTATATGAACAGGGAAAATGTCTATCGTTGAGTGTCCAAGTCGATCTATTCAATGAAACCATCGAGAAGAATCTAAAGAAGAAGTTTAAGACAAATTCGGAACTAAGTAAACACTTGGCTGAATCATTGTTCATGACCGCGATTGGAGTTAACGATTACGTTTTCTTCTATAACAAGACAATTGATGCAAATGAATTTGCAAACAAGCTTCTTCATGAGTTCATGATACAAATTAAGGTAAAATTAAATCTTAGTTTCAGGTAATAATGTTAATCAAGATACATTTTACTTAATTATTTGATTTTTGTTGCAGAGATTGCATAAGTTAGGAGCAAGAAACTTCTTCATTAACAACATTAAACCCTTAGGATGTTACCCAAACATTATAGCTCATACCGTGCCACATGGAAGCTGCAACGACGATCTAAATCTTGTGATTTCCATTTTCAATTCCAAGCTTAGAAGAAGCTTGTCTCACATGAAGCACAAATTCTCCAACACTTCCTTCTTATACTCAGATTACTTCAACTTCATGTTGGGACTTCGAGGACCTTCGAGCAATCAAGCTAGTTCGAATCTATTGAACACGACAAGCCCATGTTGTCCTAACGTTTATGATGGAGGTTTAACCACAAGTTGCACACCAGGTTCGACCTCGTGTAAGGTGCGAGAAACTCATATCTTCTTTGATCCATTTCATCCGACTCAATTGGCGAATCTTATGTACGCAATTAGTTGCTTCCAAGAGAGAAAAGTTTGCCATGTGGTGAGAGATGCATTGGCTTAACTTTACTCTATACCAATCTTAAGATAAGACGACTTTAGTTGTTTATTGCTCTAATGATCAGTGTTTCGAAACATTTTCCCTCTAAACCGTAACATTTTCGAATATTTGATTCAGTGTAATCCTTTTTGATTGATTTATCCGTGGAGATTGTATCAATGTTCTAAAAAACGGGCATCTAGGCCTTTAGCCCCTCACATAAGGTGTCTTAAATAAAGTATATTGTATGCTCTTTTTATATCAGTAAAAAATGGTTTTTGTAAAAAAATCTCCAAGTGGATAAGTTTGCGACTATCCTCGAGGTCAACTAATCCATGTAATGATAGTCAATCTGCAATATAACCCTTGATTGTATATAAATTTTCCAGTCCATATAATATCATGTATAAATTATCAAAACTATGTCGTTTTAAACAGATTTTAAAAGCAATGCAAAGAGCAGATTCTCAAACTCATGACCTCTTGCATAAATCACCACAAGAATTAGAGGCCGGAGTCGACCGAAATTTGATTGAGAAGTTTTCCGATCAAAAAAATTATCTAGCCAAATCGGAAACAGTTCAAACCGGTTCCTTAAGATCTAAAACCGGTTATGGAGTTTTGAGACCAAGGCGAGCAAGCGGATGAAGTCTTTGTTCGATTTCGACATGTTTTTTATTTTTCAAATATCATAGAAAGTTTCCGTGAAATGCCGAGAGAAAGAAATGTAGCACACAAATCGCAATAACAATGTAATGCATGCACTGCCTCCTCACAGAAATCGTCCATGGTTGCTTTGTTCTGGAAATTGCGGAGAACAAATGAGGAACAACAACCTTTTTTTGCTCTTCAGTTTAAGAATTTGTGATTTTATATAAATTAAAAGAACAGTTTTTCTTTTTATGCCGTGGTTTAAAAAATATTGGATTTTTTCGGTGGTTTGATATCTGCGTAATGGAACTTTGGACAATAGGACGTCTACTTGCTAGATCAAAAGGACAGTTTGGTAATCGACCAATAAAAATTGCTATTCTTGAGCACAAAGTGAAAAGAAAAAAAATGCTCTTATTTGAAAATGTTCCTTAAAAGATATCATATAATGCCATGTTGTTCTATTTCTCTATATAACATGTGATTCTATTTAAAAGAGCTATGGAATTGAATGATATTTTGTGTTATATTTGGTAAAACAAAAAATTATTTTATCCTCGGTTTGTTTTTGAAATAAGCTTAAACATTGATGGAAGTTCATGGGAAGTTAATGTCTATGTACGTATAGTTGATGAGCGATCAATCACAAATTCACAATTATTATACATCCGTGAACCAATATCAATCTCAAATTTACTTTTATTGTTGAGTTTATACCATTATGTTATAAATATTTGAAGGCTAACCTACAGTTGTATAACTACCGCCTTTTAAAAATGCATAGCTCGGCACGCAAAGATCACCAGTCCTAAACTTCATCCACAATCTTTAAAATATGGGTTTTTTTCATACGTCAAATATTATATATACACGTGTGTGTGTTTTTTCATACACTGTAAGGGTCATATGCTCATTCAAGTTCTCAATTTAGCAATAGAGTTAAGTGTTTATTTATATGTATAGTGGTTATCATTTCGAACAACTAAGT